CCCCCCCCCAAAGCAAACAAACTCGTTTCTCTTTAAATTGCCTTTGGCTTCTTCACATTCCTTCAAGTTACCTTTCCTTTTGGTGTTGTTACCGCTTCAAGACCAGCGTCTTTGGTGCAGTGGTTAGGCTCTTACCCGCTGAACACATAAGAACAGAGTTCGATATTTGTATGAGTAGGACTTTTTTCGAGTATCTCTGTCTTTCTGCTAAGGCGTTGTATCCCTCACAGCCCGAGTGAGCCCTGACATCCTCATCCTCATCATCATCATCATCATCACCATCATCATCATATTGATATTATTAAATATTTTTTTGTATCAAGCTTTACAACATATTAAAAATAAACTCAAATTGAGATGGTTCTTATAGGTTTTATGTCCAGTATGTCTTTCGAATTTTCAACCCAAATTGTATGACCATCATACTCTTCTACATCTCAAGGCCGAGAGCCAGAAGACCACGACCTACTTCCGACCTCAGAGTTCTTACGACATGCTGGACACAGGGCGCGGTTCGAGTGTGCTGTACATCAAGTCCAACACATCCGACTCTACAGATGACGGTGGTTTCGTCTCGTTCTCTTCCCCACAGTCTCGAAAAGGTCAAGGAACTGTGGCCCCAGCTTCTCTCGAGCCTTGTATAATTGAGGAGAAAGAAGGGGGGAGAGTAAATGAGACTGAAGTAAACAGTAAACTCGCGGACTCTACTTTCGGATCCCGCAAGAAAGGGGAGATAAATGGCAATACTTGTGAGTTAGACCACGAGGAGACTGATGGACTTCAGGAAGGAGACTTTGTAGAAGTAGAACTTCGAAATTAATAACAACAGATTCTAAATATAACGACTATAAACCTGTAATATTTCTGAGAACCAAAGGGTTCACTATTATCAAATACGACCTACTGAAGCTCCCACCACCTTCTTTCATTCCGACATGCCAGATAAACAATAAACGAGTAGCATGGTAGTCTGCACAGACATTGATGGATATGCTTACTTCTTATACCACAAGGCTATCGTTAGAATCTATACCTCTACGATCGAAAAAAAGAAAGAAAAATGAAAACAAAGTTGACTTTTTCAAAATTTGATCTGGAGAAATTTTCGTTAGAGAGCCCTGCAGTAATCAGCACACAGACATTTTCTGTAACGAGAATTCAACTTTTTGATCTTTTAATCATAATTCAAACATACTAAAATTTCAGACAACCAAGCAGTAAAATCCTGAAAAAGTTTTGCTTCTTTGTGCATGTATCAAAACGAATATTACCACTGTCTCTCAAACAACGATATGAGGACACGTAGTCAATACCACTACTTAGTCTGATAAAAATTAAATGGTCTTCAAGTCAAAGGAATTGTTGAAGTAGAGTTCAGTCACTGGGAAGTAAAAATGTATCGAGTTCCCAGCCATTGAAATGATTCAAAACATTATTATGTCCCTTTAAACGCAAGTCTGACACTGTGATATAATCGGTGACACAATTTACCTGCTTATTGGAGGTACATTTGCTTGTTTGCTAGTGTTTACGTTGTCTAGAATGCAGAGGGCTGCTGTTGGGATGGGGTAAAGTGGGGGTGTCCGTGTCCACACAGAAACTGGCGTCTTTTTGGTCTTATTGAGTTGAAAACCAACTTAGAATCTCCAAAAGTTGGCAAGCACTCACATTAGCTGGCAACACCAAGGCTCTAAACGATAGCTTGTACAATCAATTCTCTTGCCGTTGGGGTTGTTGTCTTCTGTTTTGCTTTTATTGCTTTCTTTTTTAGCCTGTCATCATTGAAGTTGAACTCGATAAAAGGAGTTCCATTAAGTATGTCACTGAACATCATTACAAGGGAATTGTACTTTGGTGGGATGTTAAATATCTGATAAGCTATGCGTATACCGAGTGTACTTTGTTCTCGAAGACGTGAATCATTGTTTTAAAATTACAGTCTTTTGCATACTGTGAGTTTGTGAATGTGATTTTGAAGGTTTAAGAATAGAAGTTTGTATTATATATTACTTTTATGTACATGTACATGAAAATATAGTATTTCCCCGTCAAATGTGAACATAGTAAGATGCAATGTGACAGATGTGAAATTTGACGTACAAACGCCAAGGACTGCACATTGTGCGTTCAAATGTGAAAATTGTCATTTCAAATGTGAACGAATACTGAACAAAATGTGATGGTGCAAGTGCAAATGTAACGAGGCCGTAAAAGGTTTCAAAACAACGATTACTCCATTCCTCCTCCTCCTTCTTCCCCAGTAGAGACACTGATTTGAGATGATTTGAAACGAGTGAATTAATGGAAGAATATTTATTAACAGAGTGCTACTTGTTGCTTTGCTGTAGCAAATAACAATAACAAACAAATACCCCATCTCACCAAATACATGAAACATAGGAACATTTAAAATTACACGAAGATGTCTTGTCGCCCAAAGCAGTCAGGCACAATTCAATACGCTTGCATACCCCTAAAAGAAGCTTGTATCTTTGAAAGAGTAGCCACATCGACTCTTTGTTCCGCGATTCGGGATAGGGTTGAAAACATTTCTTCGTAGTGCTGATTCAGAAGCTGGTGGCAAATTTCTGCCCATGTTTCTTTTGTTTGTACCTTCCATATAGCAACTGAATTTTTGCAGATATTGAGAAACGGGGAGAAATGGGGCAGAAACTAGAGACCAAAATTTTGAAGGCAGTTGCAGGTTGGCTGCCTGCTTATGAGCAAGTGCATTATCTACATGTATTACGAAAAATGCATCCGCCATAGATCACCTGTTTCCTCTTCCAACAATATGAGGTCACCGACATTATTCACAGCGTATGCCATTGTAAAATTTGTCCATGTCCGCCTTGGACGACACTGCTCTAGTCCCTCACCGAAATCGTCCATAAGTTTGTGTCATCCGCAGGGTCATGGCTGATACATCACTGTGGATTCACTGGCTTCCACATGATGTACAGGCCATTTTGATCCATGGTTCATATCCTTGGTGCAGTCGGAACTTCTTTTAGCAAGTATACCTTCTAACTTTTTCATGGTGCCCAGGAGCCTGTCAACAAATGTGCTGCTGGTTGTCTAGCTTACTTGGCAGGCCTGGGGAAGGCAGACTTTGAATGTAGGTGTTTTACGCCACCATCGACGCATTATAGATCATTCAGAGGCGGGCTTCCGATCCTGTCTGTCAGGGCCAATCCGGTCTGAGAGGGAGAGATACATCATCTCAGCAGAAAGACCGAGATACTCGATAAAATCCTTTCCTCCTTACTCGGGAATCGAACTCGGATCTCTGTACGCGACTGCGAAGCACCTAACCCCTGAACGACTGACTTTAGTGCAGATTCTGAATTCTCTAATGGTTATGCCAATAATAAAGTTAGGTGCACGTCCCAAATTTCTTAGACAGCAGTTCCCGTGTCCTGAGACCCCTTACAATTTCTTTTATCACTGCGAGGCAGTGGTACTTGCCCATCTCTCTCCTTTGTTCTTTTAGCAATATTGTAGGCAGCTGTACGATTTACGCCAAGAAAATACACAATTATATCTTGTAAGTTCAAGTTTTGTCTGCATGAGCGGTTTTGGAGTAAACCATCGACACGTTTCCTTTCTTCACAGATACATTTTTAATAATAACTCATATTTTCATTGATGTTCATTTGAGCGTGCAATGTCATATTTGAAAAGGAAACTGTATTCTATTTAGTTTAATGTCAAGGAACTTCACCAATGTTAGATTTTCTCTTGCTATGTTCACATTTGAATAGGAAATGCTATATCTATAGAAGGGTGGTGCATTCTATTTGGATTTTTTTGGGGTGGAAAATACTTATCAATAATTCTGGTTTTGGAAAAACAAATTATTAAAATTAATGAGGTTTGGATTTTCTCTGTAAATCTACATAACTGCTTCATTTCTGCACACATGTGTTTTAAATCTATCATTTACAGCGCACCTCAGTAATTAAATGGACATGTAGCAGGTCTATCTTTCACCCACAACACTCAGGTCACTTACTGGTAATAAGCTGGTCGTGGTAGGGGGCAAAATTAAAGTGTTTTGAGGGAAAGACCGTTGTTCAATTCTGAGACCGCCATTTCGAATACCATCCGAAGTCAGCTACAATCACGCCAACGGCAACTTTGACCAAATTTCTAAAAAGCCCGAAGACTTATCTTTGGAACAGCTAATTTGTGACCTTACCCATCCGTGATCAGCTTTTATTGTTAACATCTCCAAATTAATGTATGCATATCATTACATTTTTACCAAACAGAGCCAAGGGTCACTACTGCCCTATTTCGTTACATGCTGACATCATAACCATAGAGCGTTAAATTTTATATCGTTTTTATCCGACAATTGCTATATCAGAATAACAAAGTTATATATGCTCAGTACTTAGTTTTGAGAAATTTGACGTCAAATATTTTGAGTTTCACGTCATTTCAAGCTTTTTTCGAATGCAATTCCTGGAATATGTCTTGATAACGACTCCAAATAATCTTACGATTTTGATAAAGCGGATAAAACATTTGGTTTCTGACCTCATGGTCTTAGTAACTCAAAACGGTCAAAAACGCCAGAAAGAACGTTGTAATTCTGAGGTAGCAAAATAGATTCAGTCTCTTCCATTGCGAGTTGTTAACCAAAAACCTGCTTTTTATTTCCAACTGTGTATTGATGTATGAACTGATTTTGATTTTTTAAATGTCGGTATACTTGTTTTAAGTAAAAGTCGATATTTAACAATGTAAGAGTATGTGGAGCAGTGTGTGTGTGTGTGTGTGTGTGTGTGTGTGTGTGTGTGTGTGTGTGTGTGTGTGTGTGTGTGTGCGTGTGTGTGTGTGGGCGCACACGTGCGTGCGTGATTGCGTGTGAGTGTATGTGTGCATGCGTGCGTGTGTGTGTGTGTGTGTGTGTGTGTGTGTATGTGTGTATTTGTTTGTGTGTATGTGTGCGCGCGCGCGTGTGTTTTAAAAGTAGCCTAGAGGTTTAAAAAAAAATATTTCTTTTTCGATTGGGCTTGTGTTTTCTATTGCATAAATAGACTTTTAAAAATAAATTACGATACACATAGATCATCTCGTCCAGATGAAATTGACTAATATAATTGTAATCTACTATTATTATCTTTATGACACTAATCAAGTTCAGTAAACATTTTCTCACTGTATGTAATTTACCTTATTTTCAACGAATGTGTTGCGATTTTATAAAATTGTGTTAGATTGTTATGGTCTAGAATATATATATATATATTTATATTATATATATATATATATATATATATGTATATTATATTTACATATATATATATTATATACATATACATATATATATATATATATATATATATATATATATATATATATATATATATATATATATACTAAGTACAATGCTTTAATGAAAATACAATATCCTTCGTACCCAAGGTTTTTGTAATGGTTATTTTTCCATTTCAACCAAACCAAGACAATAAAAAGGAGACATCAGCATTAATTGAACGTGTTCCACTACGTGTTTTAGCTTTATGAAAGCGTTAGATAATTCCCGTGGGATTCAGCGAGGATCCTATGATAGGATCGTATCATTGGACCTATGAAAATGCTAGAACAAGTTCCTTTACAAATGTTTAGCACCATTGATTGTACAAAGTGTTTCGCTCTGTACAATAAAAAAAACTACTTTCGTAAACCACAGACATGTAAAAGTATACTGTCTTAGTGTTAAAATCTTTAAGCGTACGTATGTATCTTATAGATTTTTTTTTAAAAATCGGTATCGAAACATGAGGAGTATCAATATGGTAGAACATGAATATTTGGTTTATTTTTATATCAATTCATCAGCACTTACATGCACTTCAAACAAATCAAAGCATACAAACTTATTAGATATAGATGAAAAATTATCAACAGCATCAGTATATCGTCAACGGACTACAGTGGTAGCCTGACTTATTTCGTTAAAAATTATGTAAATTTTTAAAAATCAACAACACACACGCAAACAAAAGAGAAACCATAAATAAACTTCCCAAACCTTTTTCTGTACTCAAGTCATAAGAATTCGGGAATCAAAACCTGTACATTCGTTGAAACATTTGTATTGATTAAGACGTGATGCTTGGGCTTCCTAAGGAATGTTACTGTGGGTACGTGTGATTTGGGCTAAGTCCGACTACTAATGTAGTTCGCTGACGACATGTGAGAAGGCATATATTTCGTCTTACATACCACACCTCTTTCAAATATCCCCCTCTCTCCCTCCCCTCTCCTCTCTCTCTCTCCTTCTCTCTCCCTCCCCCTCTCTCTCCCTCTCCCTCTCCCCCCTCTCTCTCTCTCTCTCTCTCTCTCTCTCTCTCTCTCTCTCTCTCTCTCATTGTTTTTCTGTCTGTCTCTTTGTTTCTCTTTCTTCCCCTTGGTATCTCTCAGTGACTTTCTTTCTTGCTCTGTCTCTCGCATTCTGTTCTTACTACTCTGTCATACACAAAAAACACACATATTAATTCATCCTCTCTTTAACGCAGTGCTGACAAAGCAAACAGGCAAAAAACACAGAAATAGACGTATACTGTTGAGTCGGTAAGATAAAGCTGTAAGCTTGCACGGACAAAAAAGGAAGACATTGATATTATTTTCTTGAAGAAGAAAACTCTTCGCTAGCTTGCCTAGCTGGCTAGCATTACTCAAGCTAATGAATACATGTACAAAAGTATAAAGTAACCATTGTTCATAATGTTAAGCACTAGTGTACTTTTTTGCAAACAAAGGCATTGAGTTAAAACCACACACTCAAGCATAGAAACAATTACTGCTTTTCTGGAACAAAAGGTAACTCTGGAGTAGATGGAAACATATTTTTAAAAACTGTACAAAGGAGCTGAGATGTGACAGTAACTGAACATATGCTATGTAATGTTATGATTGTTGCTTGAGAGATGTTATACAATATGTATGATTCTAATGACATTTAATCGGCGCCTTTAAAGTGACATGTGGCATAGTAAGTCTATTGGTTAGGTACCGGATTCGCAATCGTGAGATTGCAGGTTTGGGGGTTCGAGCCCCAGGCCCGACGTTGTGTCCTGGGAAAGGCACTTTACACGGATTTTCCTTACCTCACCGAGGTGGAAATGGGTACCTGGCCATAGACAGCGAAAGATCTTTTCAGTAATTTAGTGTTATAGCGACATACAATAGATACTTCCCAGGAAGTTGAGAATGTTTCAGAATGCTTTCAGATGAGCTGTGGTAATAATATTACAGATTATAAGGCGGATAGAGCTTGCCAGTGAATGGGAATTTACGCAGTACCAATTCTTTCTAACATCATGTACCCTTTTTCACTTTCAAATTCAACTCGTCGAGCCTGCATGATAAAGTCAAGTTTGGAAGCTGAACTGGTCAGCTGATACATTTGAAACGAAAATCAGCACGGCTGATCTTTAGGCCTGTCTGTGTAAACTATGCCGTTTTGAAGCTAAAACGATGGGTGATGACTGTATGATAATAACTGCATTGTTAACAGAACGATAGATCAGCACACGACCAAATAACTGTATAGTGTTCACGTCTCCTCCTTGCTCACCAGGTAATAAACTGCAAGGGAAGCGAAAGTCCAAGGTAAACAACTCAAAATGGTTTTATCCTCCTCATGGAACTTGCATTTTGTCTCCCCTTTTATCTTCTTCCAACCAACGCCGAGTAAATGTATCTTCACATTCTACAGCACTGCTCTTTGCTTGATTGGAAGTGGCATGCTTATAATGTGAGATATCACTGAGTGAATATGGTTCCTTGTAATTATCGAACTCAGCATGAGACGAGCATGCCAGACATCATCAGTGCTGAAAGGCAACTCTGTCTGCGGAGTATCGTTACTTACACATAGGACGTCAGAGACAAGACCCGTAAACCAAATCATGTGTTTGATTGTATATTATATTCATCCACAACTCAATGCATAATGCATTCTCCCAATGTAGAAAGCGCCAATGCAGTGGGACTTTGAAGGGACCCTTTCCAGCTTTCATAAAATACTCATGAGTAACTAAGTTCTTCAAAAATTAATGTTTCACCTAACGGTATTTCATCGCGAATCTTATCTCCCTCCACTTTGAAGGGACCCTTTCCAGCTTTCATAAAATACTTATGAGTAACTAAGTTCTTCAAAAATTAAAGTTTCACCGAACGGTATTTCATCGCAAATCTTATCTCCCTCGACCTCCAGGTTATGGATAGCGGATATTTTTTACTATAAGCGTCTCCCAATAAACATGTTCAAGTCCGTAGAATATACCACAACTTGTATTCTTCAGATAACAGTTAAATGCTGCAAAAACATCCCCAGTCTCAAATGGTAAACGTAATAGGCCTGTTAATAACATATGGCATTAACAGTTTTTGTGGTTTGGATTTATTTTTGTTAGTACTGGAAGAAGTCAAGGGTAACATGCAATGTGTGTCTAAACATCAATCTTCCAGTATTAACAAAAAACCCCCCTCTAACAAAGCAAGTCACGCCCAGACATGTGAAACCTCACAAGTCAAGCAAACTGCACACCATACACGTACATAAACCCATTGCAAAGTTTCCAGCAAAGCAAATAGAATTATTATGTCTAATCTGAGTCTCCATAATTGTTTAAAGTTCTGTGGTTCCAATTATCAGACACATCACAGAACACTGTCAAACTCCCTGACTCCATTCCCATTACATCAATCACCTGCATACCACCCCTCAACTTGACCATTTTCATAAACTTTCTCTTGGTCTTCCTCGCCTCGTTTTGCTGATAATTCCACATGGACATTTCTCTCCAAGCAGTAAGAGGTAAACAGCTTTAAGGGAGGATCAAACGGCTTCGACAGATGTGTGGCTCACACCATTCCCTGTCACTCTAGATTCTTCTTTAATCTTGGCCTCGACAAGATGATCACCGCTGCTCGATCCACCCAATCTGCATGTTTCCTTGTCCTCCTTCTCTTTGAGTGAGTTGGAATCCCCATTAACGGTATGTTCTACTGGTAAATGAGCAGTGGGGTTGGAGATATTGATTTCTGCAGTGTGACACTGCACCGCGCCACCACGGTTCACGTGGCCGTTCTTCACTGCTCTACCTTTTGGTTCTTTTTTAGATTCTTCAGAGTCGTTCATGAAATTAGTACTGTTGTCAGTGCTGGTCGTGGCGTTGACGTCCACATGTCTGTCCCCACAAGACCGGTAACTATTTGGAACATGGGCATGTTGACGATGTTGATTCGACGCTTCTTTATGAATGGGGATAAATTCCTGTGTGTGTTCTGGGCTGTGTTTGTCGTCACTGTTTGCTCCTCTAGACGTCGAGCTGGCAGTAGTAGACAGAACAGCTGCGTTGTTCCGCGTTCTATCCGTTAAGGAAGAGTCCTTATCTACAACTGCTGTCCTTCCTGCATCACTGCACCCCCCTTCCCCGTTATGTACACGGTGGTGGGAGGGAGCAGCAAGAGGTGACATCCCATGTATAGAAGAGGATGAACATGGCGTGTGCCGATCCCTAGAAAGAGGCTGCAGTTCTATTGACGGTGACGTCTGCTCGCTGCTTTGAGAAGAGGAACCTTGCTTAGTGACCCTTGACTTGGATTTCCCACCCTTTTTACGACGGCGCTGCCTGGCCTCCTCGTCTTCACTTTCTGAATCTGACGGACAGTACTTTTTCTGCCTATAACGTTCTAATTGTGACAAGGGTTTGGGGCTTCCCGCTTCTGCATAAGCCCTGCCAGAATAGCTCTCCCTCTTCCTTTGCGCCTCTTTTCTACGCATGCGTCCCGTGCTGTCGCCGCTTTCCTCTCCTGATTCCATGACGATTTCCCCCGATTCAGCCAATGAGATGAGAGAACTGTAGGCAGGGGGTGGATCAACGACGACATCATAAGATGGTGGGTCGTAAATAGCAGGAGAGATTGGGCGGCTCTCGGGTTGGATGATTTGGACACCTTTCTCCGAGTTGTACATTACTGCAGGGGTCTGGGGTACGGGAGAATATCTGCAAAGAGAATATAGAGGGACGTATTTGCATTAAATTGCTATTATTGCTCTACTATTTGACACAAGTAAGTTATTTCGAAGGAGCTCTGAAAGAGTAAAATATGGCAGAGTCAGGCTGAGCTGAAGACATTTTTCTTGTTGGTGTTGGTGGTAGTAGAAGTGATGTTGGTAGCCTTTTTGCTTCCATTGGTATTTTATTACAGTTGGTGTTGTAGACGACCATGTTGTGAAGAGTAAAAAAGTCAATGTTCGTACTCAGGTAAAAAAGCATTGTGTCTATAGTATCACTAAAAGAAGTAGAAAGAGCAGAACACGAACGCAATGCCTACCAACCATCTGCTTAATAAAGACCCCGAGAGACACGCAGGCAAACAGAAGCCCCGAAGAAAAGACAAACGATCAAAGAGGTAGACAGACAGATAGACGGACAGACAGACAGACAGACAGACAGACAGACAGACAGACAGACAGATAGATAGATAGATAGATAGATAGATAGATAGATAGATAGATAGATAGATAGATCAGGGCAGAGGGAGAGAGAAAAAAATATTCAGAAAGATAAACAGAGTGGTAAACATATTGTTATAGGTGGGTAGACAAAGACAAACAACCACTTGGACAGAAAGATGGACGAATAACTGGGTTGGCGGAGGGCTTCTATGAGATAAATGAAGGAATATGATTCGTAGGTTCAACTATTCTCAAACAGGCACTCACTTGTAGCGTATGTATCTCCGGGCAAGACAGAGAGCCATTGCCACGACGAGCAGAAAAACCGCCAGGGGAACGAAAACTCGCAGGACGATGTCGTCTCCCAGAGAATCTGAAAAATGAAGCATCATATTCAGAAAATTGGGTAAAAGATAGTGTGCATTTTTTTCTTGAAAGCGTCTTTCGTGCATTACGTCACGATTGCCCGAATATGGCAGAACAAAAGGGCGGAGATCGTGCTTTCTAGTAATTTCTAGGACAAGTTTGCTCTTAATTGGGGCCCAAGGCTTCTTTTAGGCTCTTACGTTTCAGTTAATTTGGTCAGTGTTCCTCGCTTTTAATAGCAGGTCCGTCAGGTTTTTCTAATCTGGACATTATGCTTATTGAACGCATGTTTTGAGAGCCATTTTTGCAAAAATGGGTTCACTATAACAATAATTTCTTGTAACAAGTTTTGCAAGTAAAAATTGTCATCGATGAGCAGTGACGTAGGCCATATGCATAATCAAAAAGTGTAAGAAGCGGGAAGTGCTGTGAACAATACCATTTTACGTGTGACAGCGATTTCAAGTATTGTATATAAATTTACGAAGAAAAGTTTATTCATCTAGTCCCAATTGTTCTGGAAAAATATGATATAGTTAAGACAAATTGATACAAAATGCTATGCAAAGTATGGATGATACTGATTCACCCGTTAAAGAGATATTTGAGGATAACTTGCTCCACGAATTTTTGACCGCACTATAATTACTGCTACGTCTACACATATTGCTACATGAGTCATTATTCAAAAACCAAATAACAGTGTGATTACAAAGATACTTATAGATCTTTAATTGAAACAAATCAGCTGTAAGTCACCGATCTCCAAAAGATAAAACTCCATTTCATTACAAGTATTTTTTCAACAAATTTGATAAACTGGTTATTTCTTTACTTCACTTTCACCACCCCACCACCCCTCTCAACCCCCTTCTCTCTCTCTCTCTCTCTCTCTCTCTCT